ACAGAACAGGAAGCCATCATTACATAGCAATTGGTTCCCCCCAAACTCAGGGCAGATTCATCCTGAAGCAACAGAGGGGCAAGGGTTTAGGAAAGGAGGAGAAGAGGGGACATGAAAGTTAAGACCACAAGTTGAGAAGGGAGGGTGTTGGGGAAGGGAAACCAGATGGGTATAGCTTCTATGTTTTGAGATGTAAAAGATCCTATCAAAGCTACAGATGAGAAAATGCATGAAGAGATGGAGCCCTCCCCAAAATAAACACACATTGTTTACATCTGGGATTACTGTGACTGGTCTCCTTCTCTCTGAACAATCATAGTGATCACAATGTACAGAGCCACTTGGATTGCCTCTGTACACAGTGCTTGTGAATGTTGCCGACACTGTCCATAAACAACTCGGTTCAACTGATAGAACAGCTGTTTAAAAAAAAAGTCCACCCCAATGATATTTTTAAATGCATGACAATAGAAAAACCTTTAAACTTAAAAGCAGAGGTAATCTACTTACAGTAGACTGTATAAAACAAGACTTCTGATGGCCCCTGTTACTAAGCCCTTTCACCATAGCTGAGGTTCACCCTAATGCCAGTGTGTCCAAATATACTTATAAACATAAAGGAGGAGAATGGATATACCCTCTTTTGGATCATCAGACTATATACAGACAGATCGAGGTGGCACTGGGAACAAGGTTGCAAAATGAGAGACTGAAACAAGATTCGTGACATAAAAGGCCTTGACTGAATCAGATGTGCTTGTCAAAAATCAGCAAGCAGGAAGATGCATCTTTTAGCCTCTGCTGTTACAACTGAACAATTTCCTATATTTTTTTTCTTGAGATATGAACTATATTGATTCGCACCATCATTTCCATAATTTGACTCTAAGCTTATGATATCTGATATCAGAATGTATATTAGGAAATGATTAAAGAAAAAATTAGACCTTGTTTAGGGGATTATGAAAATAGATTTTCTCTACAGGTCAACAAATGATGATAATGCTCAAGAGATTTTTTTTTTATGCTACGCCTTAAGAATACTTCCACCAAAAGCACGGTCCCGGGCACATTATTTAGGTCTAGGCTTTTGATGTATTTTCTCTGAATTAGCATGAGTATTTGAGGATTTCTGCTAGTTCAGAGCAACAGGGACTAACTTATTAAATGTTCCTGCTGCAATGCCTGCGAGCTAGCTGAGATTAATATCAGCGTAACCTGTTACTTAATTCATTATGGGGATACAGGCTAATTTGATTTGATATTATTTTAATAAAGTTCTGTGATATATAAGATTGTTTCAGGCTATCAAAATAATTTTCCAGTTATTACAGTTATTCAAGCAAGCCCTTTGATAGCAGCAGTTGGTCCTCGTCTGTTGTGAATACATTAGCACTGATGATTCATAGCAGCTGAGAAATGCTAAGCCTTGTGTTGATGCTCAAATTTATTCTGCAGGCCATTAAAAAAGGGGGAAAAATATTTTGTATGCATCAAGCTTACATGTGTCATTAACATAGCTCATTTTTTTAAAATCACTCTTTCATAGAAAAACAGCTTTGTAAAGAAAAATCTGCTGTTTACTATTAAATTTATTGAAGCTGGTTTACATGTTTTACATACAGTTTGCATTACCTTACACAGTGAGCAAATCATTTATTTCTTTAAGAAAAAAAAAACATTGTTCTGCAATAGAAGACAGTTGAAATGTGAGCAAATGTTGCGGTAGCTGATAATAATTATACTGTATATTTTAAAACAAATGGTAGAATATTGCTATGTGTATCCACACTATGTATATATTTTTATTTGCTTTGGCAAAAGTCTATTAATTTCAAGGATCTGATGATAATGATCCTAAACATGAATTATAACAGATGTTTCAGATTGAGAATAATAGCACATATTAATCAAAGAAGGTCCACATAAACTGTAGTTACCTATTTTATCAGGGTTTTACTTCATTAAACTTATTGCCAACTTGGTTCTTTTCCTTCTTTTGCTTTATTAGATACAGTGAATGGTTTTTACGTTTTTATGTTTCGAAAACTATGAATACAGGGTTGTCAATAACATTTATATAATCTCAGGATGGAAACAAAAAGAACTTAAAGGGTAACTCCCCTTTCATGGTTAAAAATAAGCAAATACAAAAAATTTATATAGCATATACAATTGCGACACAAACAATAATGTAATTGAAAGTTATTAAAAATGACCTTTCCTTTTTAATCTATAGCACAGTAATTTTCTGTAGAATGCAATGTAATATGGCTACCTGGAGACGTTCTGTACACAGACGGTGTACAGAATGCCCCCCCCCCCCAGAAATGTCATTTCCTGCTTGTGTGATTGGTTGACAGAATTTCCCAGAAGTCAGATTGAGCACCCCCTGCAACAAAAATTTCATTTTTGGTGAGATACTCTCAAAGGGAAATCACGTCTAAAAGGATGCAGACCCTGCAACTTTCTTCATTAGAGCCCTGCAGATGCAGTAGTTGATTGATAATTATAAAACCACTCCCATACAGATTCACCCAGCACATGGACACAAACAATCATTTATTTCTTCAAAACAAAAAGTAGTGTTCAGCAACAATGTTTCATAAAATCCCTGCAATGTACATTGATCATCCAGAAGGGAATTTTTTTGTCAATAAAAGTGGATTTACTCTTTAAAGTAGTCCCAGTAAGCAACACAAAAATTTGGCCAACAGGTATACAAACAGCAACAAATACCTGAAAGAGTTTTTAACGTCTCCCCATCTACTTATAAAAATTGCTTTTATTGTTGTGTCTACATCACAGAATAGAAATAGAAAGTGAGGTAGAATCTCCCCAATGGAATCATAGATAAAAATAAAAGCTTGACAGGTGTACTTACTCTTCCCCATTCTGTCCCAAATAAACATGTTGGAAAATGTTGGAATTTTTTGTTTATACTAGTAATTGGTGGTAATCAGAGACTTATAGTCTTTTGACTTATAGTGCTTTTCAGGGAAACGAAAACCAGCACAGCCCTTCTGACAGGACAGAGCTCTGTATTGTTTACATTGACAGAGCTCTGCCTTGTCTTCCCCCTTGCTAATTAGTGGGTGTCGGCAGTCAATCATTGGTTGGCACCTGCTGATCAGCTTGAGCTGTGACTAATAACAGCACAGCCGGCATGCTGGTGGCGGGCGCCCCCTACTCGGAAGTACTGGATCATGTACTAGATCAGGGGCAGACTGACCATTTGGAAATTCAGGCACTGCCCGAGGGCTGGGGTCAGTAGGGGGCCCCATGAGATGCCCCTGGTACCTTTTTCATAGGCTTTTTTGAGTTGGGGCAAGGACACAGGGGCCCCATGACCCCCTATTCCCCGGGGGCCCCATGAGTTGTCAGTCCGCCCCTGTACTAGATACATGATCAAACACAGGAAAGCTGCTCTGTCACTGTACTCCTACATGAGGTGGTCAGCGAGCTGTTATGCTTCCCAAAGCAAAAAAATGGGTTTAATGCACTGCAAGCTTTTAAAGTGGAACTTTACCCATGGCAACTTAATAAAAAATAATGTTCTTTAGCAAGAAACAGCCATTAATAATTAACCTACCAAAATTAGTGTGTGCTGTATATTGCCTCCAGCATTGCTCCTGTTTCTTCTTGCTGGAGGCTGCCATTTTGCTGAGGCCCAGAGCCCCTGAGCGGCAGAAAATCTTTAGGCTGTCAGCAGATCAGCCTCTATATTTTTGGCACAGTGCTGAAAAATAAAGAGCAAATGAACATGTGCAGAGCAGGGTGAGACAGTGTATTACTGGATTTTAAACAGTATAGGAACTTATTTTTAATGTTTTACATAGCTATACCTGCAAAAGTGGACACCCAGAAGTAATTTAACAGGGCTTCATTTTCTGATTAAAGTTCCACTTTAAAGCTACCCTGACAGGAAATGGAAAAATTTTCTCCCTGCAAAAAAAGGGGATTAAATATTTACATCAACAATCGCAAATATTTTATACACCTTCTAAATATTCCTTTGTTTTGGCTAATGATGATACAAAAAGTGGACTCTTTCATCAATGCCATTACCGCCATTGCACCACAAACAATGCTTCTGAACCTGTGAACCTTTCATCTAATTTAAAGTGTATTAAAATGTAAGAACATTTTGAAAAAGGCAAGACAGACGAAAAAAACCTTTTTTGTTATTTCATTATTGGAGTAAGTGATGGAAAGCAGAAGAGCCTTGCTCTGGAAGAATTAAAACTAATGGTACACAACAATGGGCAGAAAATAGAAAATTATCTGATACCACAGGGGGCATTTAACTGCTTCAATACCAGGCACTTTCACCCCCTTCCTGCCCAGGCCAATTTTCAGCTTTCAGCGCTGTCACACTTTGAATAACAATTGTGTGGCCATGCAACACTGTACCCAAATGAACATTTTTAGCCTTCTTTTCATACAAATAGAGCTTTCTTTTGGTGGTATTTAGGCTCCATACACATTAGTGCATTGCAAATCCCGGGCTGAATCACCTGAAAATGCAGGGTATTTTTACCATGATCATGGTGCTTTTTCTGCGCAACAAATCGCCACCATTGCACAAACAAAATTCAGAACCATTTCTGGGTGTCGTGCGATTTTGTTTGCATGATCGCAGCACATTTGTAGCGCGGGAAAATGCACCGCGATCACAGCAAAAACACCCCACATTTTCAGGTGCCATTGAAATGAATGGCACCTCCAAACACGATTGCACATTTTCACATTGTCACACCATGTTTTTAAATCGCGGGCAGAATCGCAGCAATTCCGCCCATGATTTGAAACACCCTAATGTGAATGGAGCCTTAATCACCACTGTTTTCTTTATTTTTTTGCTAAATAAACAAAAAAAAGACTGAACACTTGGAAAAAAAAATACGTTTATCTTCCTTTCTCTTATAAAAATTTGCAAATAAATAATTGTTCTTCATAAATTGTGGTCAAAATGTATACTGCTACATTTCTTTGGAGAAAATAACCCAAATCAGTTATTATTATTTTTTGTTTCAGTCTATAGGAAAGTTATAGAGTCCACAAACTATGGTATATATCTGAAAATCGATCAATCCTGATGTAATGAAGGCCACATTTCTTGAGACCTTAAAATGTCAGGACAAGGGGCGGACTGACAATTTGGAAACTCTGGCATTGCCCGAGGGCCCGGGGTCAGTAGGGGGCCCCATGAGATGCCCCTGGTACCATTTTCATAGGCTTTTTTGAGTTTGAACAAGGACATAGGGGCCCCATGATCCCCTATTACCCGGGGGCCCCATGAATTGTAAGTCCACCCCTGGTCAGGACAGTACAAATATCTCTCAAATTACCCTTTTTGGAAAATAGACAGGTATTTAGTAAGAAGCATGGCAAGTTTTTTGAAGTTGTAATTTTTGTGTCATAATCTTTTGGAAAATGAAGAAATAAATGTCACCAGTGCAGTACATCATCATCATATAACTGGTGTGGTGTGTGATCAGGGATTGGTGACAGTATGAAAATAAATTAATAATTTTAAGTTTTTAATTTTTATTTTTTTTTTAATGTTTATTTTTTTTATTTTTTTTTTACAAACTGTGACCAGAGCAAAATAATGTTACCATAGTAACATTGTACTACTTTGGGGAAGTGATCAGGATTCTTTTTACACATTATAATTGCTTATAGCAGTGAATTTCATTGCTATAAGCAAGCATTTTACTGAATGAAATGAATTCATTCTGTAAGTATTGCTGGGATTGGCTCTGTCTGTACCATGTGATCACTGTAACCAATCAGAGCTAGCAACACAATTGTCATGTGATCTGCTGTGATTGGTCACGGTACAGTGATCTATTATCAGCTGTGTCCAATGGAAAGTGCGTTCTGGAAGGACATCATATTACGTCCAACCGGAACGAGGAAAATCCCACCCTGCTGTCATTCTACATAATCGCAATATAAACACTCTGTGCTTTCCAGCACTATTTTTTGAGGCATTGGTAGAAGGGTCCAATGTCCACTGGCACTGCACTCATGTTTTCAGATGACCTCTCTAAATCGAAACCTTTTGTGATGTTAGAATTCATGATAAGGAGACACTATTGGGCCTCAACAGGAGGCCCATTGAATTACATCCCTCTTGTGATGCATTCCTGCACTGTAAATTTTGTGCAGAGAACTACAAAAATGTGTGCATTTTAATTTAAACATTTGCAAAAGTGTCTGGTTATACATCAATACATATTCATGGATGTCCGCTGGTTGTGAATCACTCTCATCTGCCAGAGATCATTAACCTGGTGGATCAATTAGCTGATCTTTAGTCTAGATAATAAAGTATAAAATAATTTCTTCTCTTAAAATGTTTCAAAATGATATCTATTGTACAGGAAAATAACCAAGAGGTCTATATTTCCTGTATTATGATGCAAATGAAATGCAACTGCTCAGCAGCACTATAAATGAATTTGTTCGTGTGCTGGAATATTAATAATGTGGCATATAACTTCTGGCATTATTAATAACACTATGTAAAAGAAATTAATCTTTTGAAATAGAAGGGCCACAAAAAATAGACTTCCCTCATTGACTTACAACCACTGAGCAAACAAGACCTTACATGTTCCAGCTTTTTACAGTTATGGATCATTATTATTATCATTACGCTGCCGCTTAGTTCATTCAGGAAATTGTGTATGTCCCAGTGGTAGAAAACAGAGAGACGCTGTTCCGCTATATCAGAAATGAATACAATAATCTTACTGAAGCAAAATATTATTTAAAAACCCACTTTAAATAAAATGGAATTAGCAAGAATTGGAGTGTGTGTGTGTATGTGTGTCTGTTTGGGTATCTGTGCCTGTCTTGTCCTACTTAAATAAAAAATTAAAATGAAGTATATTTCCATACATTAATAATCATTTTGAGTTCTTGGCTTTAAAAAAATATATGTCAGAGCATTATCTATAAATACATGAAATGGGGTCATGGGAGTTTAAAATATATAAAATATAAGTTTAATTAGGTTGGCACCTGCTTGACCCAACTTGATTTCACCAAGTGTTCTAGCTAACTCAGTAAAAAAGAGCTTGCAGCAATGCATATACAGTAGCTTATTCAAAATATTAGAAATAAGGGTTACAATCTTGGATATTCCCTTCTCTATTTTAAGCCCAAGAAGCAATAAAATGATACAAAGTTGCATAGTTACAAAGCTAGTCAGGTTAAAAAAAGACACAAGCTCATCTAGTTCAACCAATAGAAACAAATGATGAAATAAATAGTAAACCTCCATATAAAGAATCCTATACCCACAGTTGATTCAGGGGAAGGAAAAAAAATCATATAAAGCATATAGTAATTTGCTTCAGCAGGGGGAAAAATAATTTCCTGATCCCCAAGACAATTGAATATTCCCTGTTTCAACAATCTCTGGTGTTATTATGTATAGATGTTCATATCCAGTTATATTCTGTGCATTTATGCATGCATCCAGTATTTTTTAATATGATCGATTGAGCTGGCCAGAATTGGCTTCCAAGGGAATCTATTCCACATTTTCACAGCTCTTACTCTGAAGAAGCCTTTCCACATGTGGAAGTTAACTCTATTTTCCTCTAGACTTAAGAATGTCCCTTTGTCCTTTGTAATGACCTTAAAATGAATAACTTTGCACCAAGTTCACTTGGCTGTCAATTACATCCAGTAAGCTAATGAGGAGAGAGGGGGTAGGGAATGGACACACAGAGCAGTGGCTTGGGAGCGAGCCTGCTCTTGGGCGTCCCAATACTTTTGGCAATATAGTGTATGTGCTTTTTATTCATATTCTTAAAGGGTAATTCCGCTGTAGTGGGGAAACAATTAGTTAATGAAAAATTAATAATATAGCATTTAAAATTGATACTCAAGTCATATTGTAATTAAATAATTAAATGTTATTAAAAGTTACCTTTCCTTTTCAATCTGCAGTGCTGTACTTTTCTGAAAAATGCAATGCAATATCACTACCTGGAGGCGTTCTGTACACAGATGATGTAAAAAAGTCAGATTTTTGGCATTCCCTGCAACATAAATATCCTTTTTGGTGAGATACTCCCAAAGAGAAATCACATCTAAAGGGATGCATACCCTGTAAATTCTTCATTAGAGCCCTTCAGGTGCAACGACTGATTGATAATTATACAACCACTCCCATACAGATTCACACTGCACATGGACACAGACAAACAGCTAGTTGTTCAGAATAACAAAAGGTAGGACTCTGCAACAAAATTTGTTAAAATCTCCATAATGTACATATATCACCCATTGGGAAATGTTTTTTGTCAACAAACAGTGGAGTTACTCTTTATGTTTTTTCCGGCTGCAGAAGTTAAACTAACAGGTCTGTACACATGAGTGTAAGCCATCTGGTCCAGGTGATTTTTTCTCCTTTATTTAGTCTTGTAAATAGTAGTCTTTTTTTCTGGACCATATCAGTTTTGTACCATGTGTGGTTCTTTTCCGGCTATGTCAGTACTATCCTCATTATGGACTTCAACTTACTCTTTTGCTTTGTATACATAGAGATGAAGGAGATATTTAATACATTTACCTTCTTTTTTCCAAAGTCACCAAGTTTAAATTACCTAGTAAAGGGCCTACATGCACAAACCTGGTCTTTTTTATTATTATTTATTTATTAAATTTAAAGTATTTTTGGGGGGGGGTCTGTCTTACTCTCTTTCAACACTTGTTATTTGAAAAAAATGTTTGCTATCTTTATCTTCCTTTTGCATATTTTGTTATACTCTTTTTAAGTTTCAAATGATAGTGTTCCTTCATTTTTTTATTTTTAAATTCCCTTTTCTTAGTCTTTATTACTTTTTTAACTTTGGACCACAAAGATATTACTTGTAAATTTTTAGTTATTGCCCATGGGAGTGTGTTTGAATACAACTGATTTGAAACATTCACATTTCTGTCTGCAATGCTTGATGACAACGTTCCCTCCCACTCTAAATAAGTCTTGGAGAGACTTAGTAGCTGCTAAAATAAAAGCAAACTATTGTTATTTAGCAATATCAATTACAACATAACAAGAGAAACTAAAAACAAAATGCAACCATGAAAAAGGTACATGGCGAAGTGACAGGAGTCTTCCATTTTTATAGTGAAACTGTGGACAGGCTAGAGACATTTGATTATTTACATATTCTTAACAAGCAATAAATGAACTTTAAAACAAGTTCTTATTGACCTCTGTATTTGTAGGCACTTTGAAATAATTAATCCTTAAAACTTCATAGCATATGCACTTAAGTTTAGTCCTAGTCAATTTCTGAGGCATTTTATCTTCCTTTGCTCCCTCACAGCAGTGACTTGGCAGCCTTCCATCGTCTAATGTGAACACAGAGCAGGTGTTTACATAAGAAGCTATTTCTGCTGAGAAATGGATCAGAACCCAACTTAAGTGCCTATGTTGGGAAATTTTAGGATGAATTACTCCACATTTCCTACAGCTGCAGAGGTAAGTGAAGGGTTTATTTTAACGCTCATGGGCATAAGGAAGAGAAGTAGAATCAGGGGGCCTTACCCCCTATAGAGTACCTGTCACTCTCTATGTCCTCTCATGTAGGCAACTTGTTAGTCCTACTCTTATAGTAAGTTTAATATATAATTAAAAAAACACAACAAAATGCACATATTAGGTATTCCCACCTATGCCCAATTATGGGTAATGTAGTTCTTTGTCATTTTGCCAGCACACATTATTTTGGGAATTGACTAGACAGATTCTTATCTTTTGGTTTTATTAAAAAATGTAAACACCATAAAGTGTTTGTCTGCATTACAAAAACATATATTTTTTTTAATTATAGACGTCATAAACATTTGTGCAGGGTTTCCATTTCTCGTTGGTTTTAAATTATCTTTTTTTGTTGGGTCCAGCAAGTTAGCTTTCTAACCTGTATGGCTTAAAAATATGCTAGTGAGAGTTCTATATAACTATATCAATATGGTACTACATTATGTAAAATTTTAATCAGTGACGGAAAACACAATGAAAAATATAAAAATTGTCAATAAAATATAACAGTGCCATTAACTATGACTGCAATAAGTACATTGTAATGATAGCTTATATGACCTCATAACTGAATGGATATTCAAACTCTTTATTCCAAAGCAACCATGACCTTAGACAACCAGCAGATCAGTCTGATCTATTCTGAAAAGTTTACAATCTGTCAAGTTTAAAATATTTAAAACTCAATATGTGCAACCTTCTTGTAACCAATTAGCGCATTTA